TATGTGCGAAGAGAATACGATCGGACGCAGTACAAACCCTTGTTGGAAAAGACCTTCGCTGAGCTGATCCCCTTTCGCTACCTAGACTTCAAGAAGAGAGTCGACAGGCAATACTGGACAAGACAAATGGCTTTGATTGGCGGTTATGTCGGCAACGCCCAGCTAACGGATGTAACGATCGACCTTGACAACAAAACCATCGCTTTCGATTGGAAGACCTTTTTGAACGACTTCTTCCAGCTCACCACCTATGTTCGAGCACGAAGGCCGACTCAAGGAACCGTGAGCGACCTGGCGAAACAGGCGTTCGAAGCCTTTCGTCTCCACAAATTCCCTTACACCAAAGCGCGACTGGATGCGCTTCGGTTGGAGCGCAAATCGTGGGAACATGTCTATGGTGAAGAGGACGACGAGTGCCATACAGAAGCGTACTTCCGCCGCTTACAATCCGCACATAGCGAAGCTGGATTGGATTTCGATCTAAACAACATGATCGAGGGTATGGACGAAGTGGATATCAGGAAGACGGAGGTCAAGGCTACCGCACTCATGAGATTGTTCAGGAACATTCGGTTGATGAATAGCTTCCGTGACGGATACGAGAGCGATGGAAGCAACGGGGGAAGTCCATGAGTGTGGGCCGGTACCGACAATCAGGCGGCTGGAGAGTTCAGTGAGAAGTGCGGGACCAATGTAGGCTCCCTGATAGGGTTGCAGTGCTTGTGAAGGGGGTTATGAAAGGGCGCCTTCTCCAAATCTGTATGTAATCTGGACAGACAGATAGCCGCTCCAAGCACAACGATCACCCTAGTCGCACATGACCTGCCTCCTTCGATATCTGGAGTATCAAATCATGCCGGTTTATCCAGAAGCAGGGCTAGGCAAACGAATGCAGAACGGGAGACGATTGCCGTCACGGTAGGTGTCACAGTCTCGACTGCCACCATGCAGCCAATGCAGGAGCTGTCAAAGAGTTTGAAAAGCACTTCAGGATGCTGACAGGAGCCCAACGTCCCGCGCGCACTCGCATCTTGGCCTCAGGAATGAAAGGGTGCCTCCTGCAAGCGTTCGAGCGACGTTCATCGAGCTGGGGAAGTGTCGCACCTTCTGCGGGATCACCGCTGAAACCGTTCGCTTGAGCTCTGACACAGCTCACTCTGCGAACTTCATGGGTTTCGAAACGGTTGTCACTGCGAAAGATCCTCCGCAGTGAGTCCGCACGGCCTGTCACTCACCTGTCTAAACGAAACATGCCGACCGACTTCCTGGTGGCGGCTGCAACGTCGTCCCGCAATGCACCACGAGTATGCTCGCTAGCTAGACGGGTGTGTCACCAGCTTACGGTGGATGCGAAAAAGAAAGAAGACTAATGTCGCTACTTCCATAGCCTTGCAGCAGGCTAATAAGCCAACATTACCCCTCTTTTATTGCCAATGAGGCCATGGCATTCCTCCGTCAGACGATTAGAGCGCATTTTGCGGCTCGAGGGTAACCTGGTTCTGGGCTCCAGGGTTAACGGCTTTGCTGCACACCTCCCACACCCGTGGAAGTTTTGCAGTGTGCGCGTGCCGGTATCGAAGACGAAGGGCAAGCTTCCAGGCTTGGGGACGCAGCCCCTCACTTACACCAACATCGCGATCTAGGCGTAAGGAAACAGATCCTGTCTATTTTGAATAGGACGGATGGTCAAGCTCGCACACAACGAGCTTCAGATTCGGCAGATGCGCCTAACCGAAGCTGTGCGTAGCATCGGTGACTTTGCGGAAGCACATGCAATGAGACGAGCACGAGACCCACGCCGCATCTCCTTCCGAAGGCTACCTGAGGACGCCTTTCCAGAACCCACGGTTGCCGTATCTTCCGTTAATCTCTGTTGAGTACCCAGTTAATTAGCCAGCATTTGGGCTTGAAGCGGGGCGTTCGATAGTGCGTGCATGCCGCTATCGGGTCATTTACTGACTTTGTTCGGCCAGATCAGGTCATTTATCAGCCGTGCGATGCGTGGCGTCTGCAGCGCACAGGCGGCGGGTGAAGGCCAGGGAGGCCTGGGCGTTGTGGCATCCAACCTCCCGTTCGAGCAAGTGCAAACCCAATCCCCAAAACTGTGGGCACTTCTGCCGACGTTTGGTGTTCGTCTGGAGGGCCTGATGCTGAAACTAAAGAATCCTTCGTTGGACGTTGGTTGACTGTGACGAGCCTGAGCCTGAGCCAACTGCGCCGCCTCCCTAAGGCAGAATCGACGTCTCGCTGTCAGACATCGCGATGAGCGTGGAGGCGATGTCTGCAAAAACCAACGTTCACAAGACTTGGGAGCGCGAATGGAGGCTCAACACGAAGATAGAAGAGCGCCACCGGAATGCGGCTCACTAGAAGGTAGGTAATGCCCATCGTATCGCTCGCCCATCCCTGTCTTCTCATCGCAAGATTGCACGTATCAGCGCTTACAGCAGACACAAGCCTTTTAGCCAGATGCCGAGAGCGGCAAGGTGACATGCGGAAAGCGGATTACCCTGAGACGCTAAAGCCACCTCCAGGTATCACCAATTTGGCGTGCATATCGCTTCAAGGATAATAGTAGGAAATCTGGTCAGGATCATGGTCCGTGCCCATGTACCTACACATGGCGGCGCATGCGTGCCCTTGCCGGCGGGCCTGTCTAACGGCCAAGCGCGAAGGTTACAGACGAAAGTATAAGTCTGTCGAACCGCCTGGTCTAAGAGGTAGTGTAACAACGATACCAGCCTCGAGTTCTCCACGCTAGCAAAGACTAAGGGACGTCACTTCTATTTTGATATCATCGATCACTTCATCGCTCCTCTTGCATTCGGTCGCAGTATATATACCAGCCTCGCATATCGCATTACCAACAACACTTCCTCAACCTTGAGTATCGCATTACCAACGGCACTTCTTCATCCTTGAGTATCATCATAACCAGTTATCATGCTCTTCTCTACCATCACTACGGCACTGCTCTTTGCCGCATCTGCCACTGCAGCTGCCCTACCAAGACCTGCCAAACCGCAATACGCTCCCGCCCGTAACCTCAACAAGCTCGCCAAACTCTTTCCCCAGAGCGCTCTTCAAGGCCCAGGCGACTTGGATCTCAAGTACGTTGTGCTCGGCATCGGCACACAAAACTACACTTGCGGTTCTGATGAGAGCGCGGCTCCTGGTACTACTGGCGCATTCGGTAAGAACCCATTCAACTTGACAGGGAAGGAACTAACAACCACCAAGCCACCCTATACGATATCGGTACGAAGCTCAACGACGAAGGATATGCCAAGTGGAAGATTCCCTCTATCACCCCTCTCGCACTCTCACTGTACGAAGTGGCTCCTGGGCTGGTCGAAATGAGCCTCCGGCTTCAGGGCTACGAACATATCACCGGTCACCACTTCTTCGCCGACGTAGAAGGAGCGAACACACCAACATTCGCCTTCGACAAACTGAGCACGCCATTCCCCATGACCCAAGTTGCCAAGATCAGCAACGTCAGTGCACCATCGTACGCCTGCCCAGGCAAGAACGGTCTACCTGCCGTTGACTGGCTATACCTACAGCACAAAACTGGCATCACTCAGGGAGGAATCAACACCGTCTACCGTGTCGAGACTGCCGGTGGTAACAAGCCTGCCACTTGCAAAGGCATGCCAGCCACGTGGGAAGTCAAGTACGCCGCGCAATGTAAGTATACCCGAAACATTCACGCAGCTAGAATAGTCCACTGACATCTCACAGACTGGGTCTATGGTCCCAAGTAATAAGCGCCGAGCTTGCGACGCTCGTTTCGAGTCAGTTACGAACACTACCATTTTCTCATGCCTTCTACGATCTTTCCATAATTAGGTTAGTCGCGCGCGGCTATTTTCGTCCCGCAAGATCTACGGCAGGGCATGGATTTTCTTTTCTTGTAACCTTTCATTTCATCTCTTACATCTACGATACCCTTTGGTTTTCATGGTTCACACGACTGTGTGGGACTTCGTTGTTACTGCGGGGCATCGGCATGGCTGTGGGCGTTTACGATTTTTGCATCTGGTGGCTATAGTGCACAAGGATTGAATCTGTCCTTTGTTTAATTCTAAAAGCTTCTTGCTTAAATTGCGGTCGCGAATACTAGAACAGTGGTAGTTCTCCTGATGATGTGCTTCACTGTACGATGTGTCACTTATGCGAGATCAATGACAGTATCTTGAAGGGCCTATATTGCTCGCATCTCACCATCTCCTCTTGAAAATTGCCATGCCTGCGCCCAGCCAAAGCTGACTGTAGCAAAGTGAAGACCACCTCAAGGGACATCGCCATCCCATCGTCACACAGCCAACACGGCACATTCATAGCCGCACTCCACCAACACGGTCTGCTGACATCGACCAAGTGCCGCGCTACATACCAGACCCACTGACCACGTTGCGGCACAACTCGCAGCATGCGGCACAGTAAGGCGCGCAAGGCTTCTTGCGCTACGATCTCCACCCCATCTGACGTGCGATGCTGCCAACCTCTCGTTTACCTACAACCAACTTCCCCCCAAGTCCCCGATGCCTCCCACGCGCTTCCTTCGTACCAAAACTAAGAAAGCCTTACCCCAACACATGACGTGAACCACTCGCCCAGCCCTACAGCCCCTTCCGTCAGCCATCATTACGAGAACTACGTTCGAGTATCTGATTGGATGCAGAATATACGACACAATGGTTCGTACTACTTTGGTGGCTGTGGCAGCGGGTATTTGGCTTGGCAAAGCGGGTGTGGATGGTGTGGCACAAATCTGGTTTGACGGCGGCTACCTAGGGTCGTCCGGAGTTTTACTACTCGGACGCAGGACGCACATGTACCTTTAGCGTAGACACTATTGGTAACTTGGTACTGGGAAAAAGAAATCGAAGAAAGTGGGTACGGGAATTTGGCTTCCGTGCCAATGATGTGGCGTACCTACATCCGGTACGATGCCAATGTATTTTTTGTTTGGATCTTTGTTATGTAGATAAGATTCATTGCCCCAATGGCCACTTCTGGTCTGCCTTCTCTGCGTGTTGGACAGTCACTTCTCTTGTGCGCATGATGCCCTTTAGATCCTCTTTGTCGTCGAGGATGTTGTCCTCGCTTCCAACTCGCTCCTCAGTGACACTGTAGACAGCGTTCTTCTTGCCCTGACCAGAAGTCGAGAAGTTCCCCAACACACTCTCTCGTACGCTAGTCCTGGATGTCAATTCGAAATTCTCGTTGCCATTCAGTGTTCCATTCGTTGTCAAGAAGGTCCTGCGACGCTTGCTTGGCCTTCCACTGCCGTACGTTTGGGCACGTTCGATGTCATCGTACTGGTTGTTGTTGTTACTGGTGGAGTTCGAGCTCTTCTTGAAGAGTGGCTTGAGGCAAGGTACGGAGGCGGCGATGATGCCCATGTGCATTTGCATACTAAAGTGCAGGAAGTCAGCTTACTTCCATTGAGCAGAAACGTGAGAGAGGTATTCTGAAGTTGCCACTTACTTTCCCCAGAAGTTCATGCTTTGATCGCTTGATTTGGTCAGCTTGAGTAGTCGAAGACCATTCTGACTGACTTACAAGGTTTGGTCTACCATCGTCGATGAACCGAACTGGTAATAGGCCTTTGGAATACCCATGGCTGCTGCGCTAGATATTGTGAGCGATTGTAGGCCAGACATGTTAGAGGAGTACATACAGCCAACCTACGCTCAACAGCCCTATCAATCCCAAACGTGTTCGCCGCGACATCTGCAGGTTCCAGATGATTGGTATGGGTATAGTCGCAAAAACGATGTCAGTAAACATGTTGCACGCTTCGTGGTATTAGTACAGTGCAACCAGCGACGAGAGTGTAGGTACTTGCAAGTATTCAGCAACGCAGTACCGACAAAGAAAGTCCATGAGTAGCATTTGGCGTTGATAGTCTTGTCCCATACCCCAGAGATGGGCCAGCATCGGAATGTGAAACTGAAGAATGCGAACAGGGTGTACACTGTGATGAATGCCACTGTCGCCCACAGTGTGCGCCTGAACCAGGCGGTGTTCCCCCCAAGTCGGAGCAGAAAGATCGCGATTGATACTTTCAGTAGTGCGAAACCAACGACAGCTGCAATGAGGGTTTGAACGTAGACAGCATGGTCAATGCCTGCAAGGTCGTCTGCTGATAGGGTCTGTTGATGGCGCCCAAGGCCATGGTAGCCCCCGACGATGAAGGATACCAATTCCGCCAGTCCACCAAACTGCTTACATCAGTCGCGCTCCGTTATACAGCTGCGCAATACGTACATATGCTCCTACGATGAACAGATCATCTATGGCGGGTTTCCGCAATACGAACACTCGCGCGTAAAGCCTTAGGCCAACAACAATGGCGGTGACAATGTGCACGATAGCGGAGATGGCGAGAATCCGAGTCAGATTGCTCTGAGCTGCCCACTCCGGGTCCATGACTGGTTGCCCAGATGATCCGCTCTCGGGAGCCATACTCGTATTAGAAGATAAGGGATAGGGGCAGCGGCGCAGTCAAATCAAGAGAAGGGAAAAGGCGGCATAAGTCTTCCACCATAAAAAAGAGAGGCGTTGTTGGGTACATCATCGGATGATCAACGTGGGCGACGACTTTATCAACACCAATATTCCTTACCATCGCTTGCACGGCTCATCAAACTCCAACGACTGTGCCGCTCGTAGCAACACAGCCTGTTACGCAGGCGAGGGCATTCCGTGGGATTTCTATGCTTGTAAAATGTCGGATATAACTTCAGCCACCACCCAGTCCTGTGGAACAGCGGCTGCTGAGACAGGCCTCCTCGGAGGTTTCGATGCCGCAAGAAGTTGAGCATCCACAATCGCGAAGTTCAGGTGCCGGCGTTGCCTACCTAGGTAGGTATCTTGAGTCAACCGATACTCGTTACCTCAGTTGCGCGGGCTGCTACATCACTCTCGTAAGAGCAAGTCTTTCAAGATTTGTAAGATGTCAGCATTGAAAATGAGAGTCAGTCTTCTTCGTCCCTCGCGTCTTCGGCATCTTCGCCCATTCCAAGGTTGTTGGAATTAACTCTACTAGTACTAGTGCCGGTGAGCCCTGCCGTCCCTAGCTCCACCGCGTGCCGTCCCACGGAACACCGCGAGGGCGTCCGCGATGAACAGCGAGTCAAATCACACTTGAAACCGCTTCGAAAAGGCTGGAATAATTACCAGCATCAATTCTTTCTTCTTCAGAAACGCCAAGACGTTGTACAGTCGCTGTAGTTGTACAGAGCCGCCTCCGAGGTCTTCGGAACCTGCATGGCGAACCCTTGAAAATCTGCCGTTCCTGCGGGATCCTGCCTGCATGATTGCGGCGTGGTAGTCGAAAGCGCGACCTCGACCCGGCCGGCCCATCCTTCTGGCCTTTTACGATTCAGCAATCACGACCGGTAGAACTCCGCGCTCGGTTGAAATCGAATCTTACATCCTGTTCCTCGGGCTTATGCGAGGCTAACGCACTAGCATCGCATGAGCCCATATGGACAGCACGTGGGTTGCCTGAAGGAGAGCCCTAATCCAGTAACTCCGATGCCGTAGAACACCGCGGGCATCCTTCGCCACTGCAAGACCACCTCGGATGCATATCAGCGAACCTTGCAGCCGTATTTGCTGCATGCACGTACAATTTTTCGATATGGGGCAGATGGGTATCGCAGCAGCATATATGAGAGTGCCGGCGCGCAATCAATGGCACTCTATCCCATCACAAGATCTCACTTCTCTCGTTCAAACTCCTACACAAGATGCGATTCTGTGGGCTCTCCGCCATTGTTCTGGCCTTGACCAGCGTAGCTTCGTCTGCTGCATTGGTACCTCGCGATGATCTGCTTACAGATCTGCAAAACCAGGCCATGGAGGCATTGAAGCAGGCCGAGGCCAACGGTACGCTTGAGAAGAGGAGCTGCTCCCTTTCCAACGCGTATGCTCGCAGGGACTGGTAAGTACTTCCTGGATGCTGTTTGAGAAGATTTAACACTCACACTCATCGCAGGGAATACATGAGCAAGAAAGAGCGAAAGTCATACATCAAAGCGGTGAAGTGCTTGTTCTCCTCGCCATCGAAGACACCCGCAGGCCTTGTACCTGGCGCGAAAACACGATATGACGACTTCGTTGCTCAGCATATCAATCAGACATCGTTTATTCACGGTACCGGCAACTTCTTGACCTGGCACAGATACTTTGTGTATACTTACGAGAAGGCGCTTCGTGAAGAGTGTGGCTACGATGGTTACCAGCCGTACTGGAACTGGTTCAGACACCAGGACGACTTGAGCAAGTCTCCTGTTTTCGATGGCTCCGACACGAGTATGGGTGGTGACGGTGCTTACTTCAAGCACAACGGCAGTGTTAGTGGCGGCGGTCTCATTACCTTGCCTTCAGGAAATGGAGGCGGATGCATCAAGAGTGGTCCCTTCAAGGAGTAAGTCTGGGATTGTCGGCGTTCCAATTATACTCTCTAACAACTGACAGTCTGCAACTCAATCTCGGTCCAGTCCTCCCAGCTATGAACGGATACCCTGCTGTGAGCACACCGTTCGAGTACAACCCAAGATGCGCTCGACGCGATTTTATCCCCGCTACCGAAGACTTTACCCTGACCAGCCTCTACAACCTGACGCTCGGCCAAGCTTCCAAGAGCGTATACACATTCCAGAACGAGCTGCAGGGACGTTTCGGCAACGGATTTCTGGGCCTGCATACCACTGGCCACGTCAAAGTCGGCGGTGACGCCTCCGACTTCTTCAGCAGCACGAACGACCCCACGTTCTTCATGCACCACGCTATGTTGGACCGTGTGTATTGGATCTGGCAGGCCTTGCATCTCAACCAGGCGAAGACAATTGCTGGCACGATCACTATCCTCAACAACCCACCCAGCCGTGACACTTCGCTGCAGGATATCATCAGCACCAACTTCCTGAACATGGAAGCCAGGCCGATTGAAGATTTGCTAGGGTCGCTGGATGGAGAGCCATTCTGCTACATCTACTTATAGTCGGCGACGCAGTTGTACATAGTCTGCCTCAAATATAGTATTTAATGTTTGCACCCAAGAGTTCTTTCCTGCAATAAGTGATGGACGAAAAGACGCTTAGTATTCCATGTGCAAATGCTCTTTACGCCCACCCTAAAGAAGCGCGTACCCACATTCCGCAACCCGCTGATTGGTCCGATCACCACATGCCATCCCCATCCGCTATCGCCATCCTACTAACACGTCCAATAAAATAAAACAACCTACCATTACCTCTCCAAATGCCCCCAAAACCATGCCCAAACAGCCCATCACCATAATAGGCGCAGGCATAGCCGGCCTAACCCTAAGCCGCACCCTTCTCCATCGCGGCATCCCCAGCATAGTCTTCGACAAAGCGCCTCCAAACCGCCGGGGCTTCAACTACGCCATCACCCTGCACTCCACCGCCTACAAACCCTTATTGGAAATCCTGAATCTCAGTGACACAGCATTCAAAGCCCGCGTCGCCATCGACGCCGAAGATGGCGGAGTAGGAAAACATGGCGAAAACATAGACATACCCAGCCACGGCGGTTTATATGACACCTCCACGTCTTTCCGCGCCAATCGCGCGATATTCGAAGATCTGCTAAGTCAAGACCTGGATATCCGGTTGGGCTATTCCCTCCAATCAGTCAAAAGCACGCCCACGGGACCGAGATTGCGCTTTGCCAATGGCGAGACGTGGGAGGGCGGGGAACTCGTTGTAGGCGCTGATGGTGTACACTCCAGTTTACGCAAACTGCTGTTGCCGGAAAAGTCAAGAGTGGATGTTTTGCCTTATGCTGTGTACTACGGGAAGAGGTGTATCATGCGGAAGGACTTTAACAGTATCTTTGGGGGTAGGGCGGAGGGAAACCAGGGGAGGAATGTTTGGCAGACGACCAAAGGGGATGTGGTGCTTACTGTTAATGTGGATAAGAAGGAGGATAAGAAGGTGTGGGTTAGTTGGATCTACTCGCGGAAGGCGCGTGGGGAGAAGGATCCGCTGTTCAATCCTGCTAGGTCAACGAATGCGGCTGAGAAGATACCTTTGGAGTTTTTCAAGGAAGTCCGCGCTCAGAATATCTTTGGTTATCCTTACGCGGCGATGGTCGATGTGCAGAGTATGCGCAGCGATAGGATATTGCATTGGCTGATGCGGACAACGTCTACGCCGTTGCCTGAATTGCATGACTTGCTCGCGAAGAGCGGCGTGTGTCTGTTGGGTGATGCAGCACATGCGGAGCCTATCTTGGGAGGTAATGGGGCAAACGCTTCAATCATCGACGGCTTGAGTCTTGCAGATGCCATTGCGAGCGGTGAAGACGATGGTATATCGAATTGGTACAACGACCGCTATCCGAAGTGGGTGCAAGGGGCTGAACACAGTCAAGCAAATCTCGCGACAATGCATGGGTCACTACGGCCGGGTGTGAACCTTTAAGTTGATCACATTTTGTAGCTAGAGAAATCTGGGCAGCCAAAGCCACCACGTACTCAATTCGCTACCAGAAGCATGCTGACACGCATTTTTTCACCGTTCATTCATACCATAGTCGCCTGTGTCAAGATAGATGAGACCGTTTACCAGCCACCACCACCAGTCGCGCCGCCAGCATCACCCCAAGAAGCATCTCCACCAGCGGCAGCAGTAGTGTCGCCGCCAGAAGCATCGTTGCCCCAGCCACCACCGCCATCACCACCGTCCTCGGCAACCGGCTGCGGGCAGCGCTTGATGGTGTGACCCATCTCTTGGCAGTTGTTGCACTTGACCTTGGACCAGTCCTTGGGCTCGGGGCAGTCGCGAGAGAAGTGACCGGTCTTCTCGCAGTTGCGGCAGAGGGCTTTGTCAGGGTTCTTGGGCTGATCACAGTCCTTGGCCATATGCTCGGTGGAGTCACAGTTTCGGCAGGCCCGGGCGGCAACGTTGGGACACTGTGGTCGTTAGTAAGGACTAGATACGGGTTGTTAGACAAGTGTACTTACATCCTTGGAGAAGTGACCGGTCTCGTTGCACTTGCGGCACTCGACACCTTCAGCAGAACGAGGTTCAGGACACTCCTTGGAGTTGTGACCCTCCTGCTTGCAGTTCTTGCAGGCGTAGGGGTTGATGCGCTCCTTGGGACAGTCGCGTGCGCGATGGCCGTTCTCCTTGCAGTAGACACACTGGATCTCGGGAGCAGTGTTCTCGCGCTCAGCTTGCTCTTGCTTGCAGTGCTTGCGTACGTGACCAAGCTCACCACAGTTGCCGCACATCGGGACACCACAATCCTGGACGTAGCCACATGATGCAAGACGCTCCATGTTCTCGGCGGGATCTTTGGGCCAGCCTGTAGCCATCTTGGCGCGACGGGGCTTGGCAGAGAACTGGATAGAGAGGACGAACTTGCAATCAGGGTTACCAATGAGGTCGATGATGGTCATGTTGGGGGCGATTTCCTGCTCCTTGGCGATGAGGAAGACTGCAAGTCCATCTTCGCGGAGAGCTTCCTCGACGCCCGGAAGACTGAAGGCATCCATGGTAGCGCGAGCGTATGCCTTCAAGCAGACACGGAAGACATCGAGGTCCTTGGCTTTGGCCGCGTCGATGAGGGCGATCCAGGCAGCCTCATCATCCATCTCGGGGACGCCAGACCAGTTGACAATGCGACGGGACTTGCAGTCGACAGCACGATGACCTTGTTGATCGCAAAGCTTGCAGGTGCCCTCGAAAGGGCGCTCAACGCGCTCGTTGGTACAATCCGCCTTGTTGTGACCGACTTGGCCGCAGTTGAAGCACTCGCCAGTGAGGCCGCCTCCGCCGCCCTCAGGCTTATCAGGGCAGTCGCGAGCGAAGTGACCGGTCTGCTTGCAGCTACAGAACATGTCAGTATCGTCACAGTAGCCAGGCTGTATGGTCGGATCGTGTTTTGCTTACATTCGGCAGCCGTCATCGCCAGCATCACCTCCACCACCGCCAGCGTCACCAGCACCCCAAGAATCTCCAGCACCAGCGTCGGCGCCAGAATCACCACCAGGAGCAGGGTCCCATGAAGAGTCACCGCCTGTTGTCATGTTAGTACAGGCTGGGGGAAGTCGCGGTGTCACAAACCTGCAGTCGCACCAGTGTCGTCCCAGCTCATAGCTGCGGTTGTCGGCGAAGCAAAGGTTGACGTCGAATTGAGCAGATGAATGCGAGTGTGAGCGGAGATAGAGGGAACTTGAAAGAGGGGAGATGGAGTGTCGGGGTTGAAAAATTGTTGTTGTGGGCGCAACTGCTCTGTTGATATAGGCGGCAGGCCCGTGCTGAAACTCAGCGATGACGACACAGGTGAAGGTGAAGCAGAAAGGGAAAATGAGTGTCAGCAAGAGGAAAGATAGGTGTACCGCACACAGGAAGTCTCACTACATACCAATGCAGTAAGAGAAGGTGAAGTGGGTACTTGGGTATGAAGAGAAGGTAACGTGACGAAGGCCGCTTTGGGACGACAGTGAGAGAATCACCTACCGAAAAGAGTAGGAGCAACGACGAGATCGTGAACGCTACGAGTATGCATGATAAGGCAAAGACATTGAACAGGCATTTGGCTCATGAAATACGTAAACACTCATCCTACACGCCAAGGTCGCGTGCTTTCCCAGAAGCTGGTATCATGTCATGAATCTCACAACGAAGAGGCCGAATGCCTTCACGGCAACATGCTCAACCCAACCCAGTACCTGAACTCCAAACAATGACGTCAAACTTAGAACAATGAGCGATCATACACCGCGGAACTAAGATGTTGTTAGTATATGTTGGATAACGGCAACTGAATGTCTCAAAGGTGTCACTTACCATTCGCACGACCAAGAACCACATAGCTCCAATGAATCTGAAAGCAGCCAAACCGGCAACACTGTATAGTACTACCGCCAAATAGATGGTGGCAGCGTCGTTCTGCTTCTTCTGAGCCTCGTCGGGACTACTGACGGTGAGCTCCAGGCCACCCGACTGCAGAACCAAGGCCGATAGACCCAAGTTGCAGAACATCCAGAAGAGCACGACACCGGATCGGAAACCCTTGTAGTAGTCTTCTTGCTTCTCGCTGGCTGACGGCACCTTCTTCTCTTCCTTCCACTTTGCGCTGAAGACGCGGAGCTCAGTCTCGTATTGGGTGTTGAGATCGGCATCGTCAGTTGGTGCCTGAATATCCGCTTTACCATCAGCCTTGGTGGTGACTGAAGGAAGCTTCTCCGGCTTGTCGTCTCCTTTGGTACCCCAGGTGATGTCGTGAGTATTGCAGAAGGCGTAGACGTTGAGAATGTTGATGTAGGTGGGTGTCATAAGCAGGTACTGGAAGAAAGAGGTGAACATGTGCCATGGGTCCAAGAAGATGATGGAGACCACTAGCCACATGACGTACGTCGACAGCAGTGATATGATCAATGTAGCAAAGATCTTATCCTTGAAAAGATCTGCCGCGTTGAAGCCACCGTTGGTTTCGATCTGTCCTTGTACGGAGCGAACGGTGATGAAGATGGACGCGAACATGAGGTATGCCATGATGATGCACCAAAAGTAGACCATGGACATGTACCACTTATTGGAACCTTGAGGCCGATTACCGAGTGATAATATGAAACATGTTATCAGAACAGCAATGTAGAGCCACTCGAAGACGATAAAGAGAACTTTACCCGCGGTACCGAGTTCGTTTTGTAAAGAGGCAGTGAGAATGCGGAAGACCAGGAAGAAGTTACCGAGAGCGAACCAGGCGAAGATCATGCTGATAGTTTGGTAGACAAACTCAACGAGGAACATGGTTTTGCGCAAGAAAGAGTGATCGCTGCGGAAGATGTCGAAAGAGTGGGCCAGGGCGTAGACAGCAGCGAAGAAGGATCCGTTCAACCAACGACGACGTTGACTGATGAACTCGGCCATGGTGGTCGGTACATCCGTCTCTCCGGTAGCAGACTTGACGTACTGCAGGATCCAATGGCAGTTCCTCTTGGAGACCAACTCGAAACACAGGATACGGTCCTCAGCCAGGTACATGTTGGCTGTGAAGATACCAGCGTTGGCGCCGTGCATCTTCTCACCAGCAAAGTACTTCTCCAGTGGTCCTTGTCCTGTCTTGTCGTTCTGAAGCGCAACGTAACGGTAGGCCGAGAAAGCACCGGGAAGCACAGAAATGAAACCAAACGCTGATTCAAGAGGCTTGTCCAGAATGTTGCTCATCTTGTACTCAAAGTTTTGCGTCGCTACCAATGGGTTCAAAAGCTTCTTTCCGTGGACAAGCATAGCTTTGATTTCACCACAAGCACCTGCACACATGGGCTCAAGATCGAATGCCTTCCATAGCTGGTAGACAGAATCTTTGCCAGGCTTTGTACCAGCATCGATAAGCACACAGACATTAGGATCTAGCACAGCTCCGAAGGCCTGGAAGAACCATCGATGCGAGTTGATCTTCTTCTGGTTCTTCTCCTTGAGACAGAAGAGCATCTGCACTGGAGTGTTGCCCTTCTTGACACCAACGACACCCTTCTTGATGTCGAGCGTCATCTGCGTGGTGTACTCGTAGATATGGGCAGTCACATCCTTGCCGTTGACTTGCTGCTTGGCAATGCCGTCCTGGTAGACACCGAGCGCTGCTAGCACGGCGCGGGTCCGCGGGTTGATCTTGGCACGACCATCGCTGACGACGCAGACTACGATCTTCTTCCACGCGTCCTTGCCCCACGTCTTGCTGTTGGTTCGCGAGTTCATGTACTCAATGTTCTTGATGACACCAATCATTGTCCGCGCAAACAGTTCGTCTTCCTCGTTGTACATGGTAATAACGATGAACAGCTCGGTATGCCTTGGCTTTGCGAAAAGCTTCTGGCGCAAAGTGAAGCGCTCCGCGTCGAAGTCTGCAGGGTCGCATGTGGCGGCCGAGTAGCGCATATGGGTGAATTCGTCACGCTCTGGGGGCTGTGCATGCGGAACCTGGTTCAGTAACCGCGGTGGAATCGGGCAATCGAGCACCAAGTTGCCCTTGAACAATTGGACCTCCTTGACGGTCTTCCATCGCTTTATTGGGGCGGGGCTTGGTGTAGGCGCAGGTTCATCATGAAACGGGTTCTCTGGGTCCATGTCCTCTGGATCATGAGGATCTGGGCCATATGAATTGGCGCCGTGTATCATGGGTCTGTTCATATCCTCATCTTGCCAGTAGTGTGTTGGCTGTGTTCCGTAGCCCGCGCCTGGGCTCTCGTCGTGGTGTGGAGTTGGGTCGTAAGGCTGGTTGTAGTAGGCATCGTGATGCGCTTGGGGATCGAGGGAGTAGTCCGAGTCGTGTCGTTGCGGTCGTGGGTCGTAATCGTCGTGATAGTTGCCTGCTGCGTAGGGAATGTTTTCTACTGAGTACTGTTCGGGTGTTAGCCTGCTGATCTCGCTGCTTGACCCATATTGGTTCTCGTGGTGCGATACATACACTTGGTTGTAATGGCAAGCGGTCGCCGGAAGCTGCTGCTGGGTTGGGTCCCATAGGGATCTCGAGGATGCCCGAAGGCTGTGGTGAAGCATAGCGGTCTTCTAGTTGATAGCCACGGAGAGGCTGGCCTGGCGAAGGAGTCCGCCCGTTGTTTCTTCGTGGGTCCATCTCGTACGGGTCGTCGCTACCACCTGGTGCGCCTTGCAATACCGTTAGTCTGGCTGACAGCTGAGGCACCTCGTGGATGGCAGAAGGCCTGTTTGGCGGTTCGTGGAAAGTGTCAAGATCGACTGGCCGCAACCATGCGACCGCGAATCCGCTAGGAGGCTACTCACCTAATCGGTTGTATGACATGGTGGTGTGTTTCTGGTTGGTGCTGCGCCTTCAATCTTTCTGCGGCAATGCGGCGGACGGCTGAACAAGCCAAAACACAAATACAAGGGGTTGCCCAGCGAAAAGGCTAAAAGATGCGACGGTTGTGGTGTGCTATCGTATAGGCGTCGAGGGAATAGCGACTGGTATATGCCCGTGTTTCAGATACGTCTGGTGCAGTTTGGTGGGTCGGAAACGCGCCGAGTCGGTTGCGTGGAGCAACGGCGGGTAGGGAATGATGTAAGAAAGCGCAAGTAACCGGCTTCTTCACAATGCGCGACTGGGGCCTCAAAGTCAATAGAGATGAAGATGCTGGGATTGAGTTCAGCAATGAAAGGCTCGCTCCTCGAGGGTTCGCACATTCACGTCCACCTGAGCAGCTGCCAAGCAAGCACTCGCTGCGCAATCGCGGGGAGCGCCACACTTCACAGCCCTGCTATTACGAAGCCCGAATCTATTTCCGTCAAAGCTTTAGGTTATCAACGGGTGTGAAAGTGCCGGAGATTATCGCTATCGATAGTTAGCTGCGAGTACATGTTGACAAGATGACATGGCGGTTGCTTCCTGTCGCCGTCATCTTCTCAGTTCTGTCAGTTTGCACCTGGTATCCCAGCAAGTCATGAGGCACATGCAGATGCGGCTCTAGCAGCTTCAACGACTTCGGCGACCCCACACAGCCGAAGTGACAAGTCATCTGCTCATCGCAAATGTTTGTTGCCGTAGTGCAAGAGTGGGTGTCCTTGTCGAGGGTTACATCACACCGCTCGAGCCTACGCGTATGTAGCAAAAGCAATCTGACCCCTCAATCCGTAAACATACCAGATTTGTAATGCACGGATGATCGTCTGTATCGCGTACGACGTGCTCGAGCAATGTTCCTGTCGATCCCACGTCATGTTGCGGCGGAGCACACCAACCATGTAGAGGAATGCTGCATCGCTGTGCAGTTGATTTACTTTTGCGACATTGTCAGTAGGTACACTTTAAGTGTATCAGCTTGCAATGTCATCTAGTCTATTGCGAGTGGAAATGGCCAGGCTTGCTGTGAGAAATCACTTTACCTGACGAGGCTAATCCCGATGATACTCCGCCGTCCCCAGATCCTCTCAGATCGCTCGTAGCTCCACCAGGCTCAAGCATAGACAAACCCTCCCATCCACCAAGCACGCAACCGGCCGAGACATATCCCAAAACACCACGATGAGCGATTCTAAATCCCCCAAACCCGTCTCCGTCCTATTCGTCTGCCTAGGAAACATCTGTGCGCCTTCTCTCCCCCATATCCTCACGTCCACCCTCTAACACCCCACAGGCCGTTCAACAATGGCAGAAGGCGTCTTCCAATCCCTCACCACCAACCCCCCACACCCCCTCATCTCCACAATCGACTCCTGCGGCACCGGCGCCTACCATCTCGGCTCCAGCCCCGACTCCCGCACCATGGCGACCCTCCGCAAAAACGGCATAACCTCCTACCGTCACTCCGCACGCAAATTCTCCCCCAGCAGCGACTTGGAGAAGTTCGACTACATACTCGCCATGGATGATGAGAATCTAGCGGACTTAGAGGCGTTAAGGCAGAGGGAGTTGAAGAAGGCAGATGTGGATGAGGAGAGTTTGGGGAGGGTTATGCTGTTTGGCGAGTTTGGGGGGAAGATGAGGAAAGGGAGGAGAGGAGAGAAGGGCGAGGAGATTGATGATCCGTATTACGGGGGTGATGATGGGTTTAGGATTGCGTATGAGCAGTGTGTTAAATTCAGCAAAGAGTTTTTGGAGAGGCTGGAGAGGGGCGAACTAAGCTGAGGGACTGGGATGTAGGATGAGATAGTTCACGCGATGGCGGGAGAATGGTGTAGGTGTGAAGTGGTTGTGTGTGTTTAGATACCCCATAGACTGGCTGGCCATAGGCTGATTATGCATGTACATTTCGATTACGAACGACTCTGATAAGTCGCGCTACTTCCTCCTGGGTATATTCCTTCGTCGTGTCGTTCGTTACGTTACGAGTTCCGCTTGATCTGCCTTTCTAAATCTAGTAGCTTCTCTACCATCTTTCCGCGCATGAAGTCGGTCAATCCGAGACTGTCTGTGTGTTAGCAACGTGCTCGCATGTTCCGCCTCGGGGGGTATACTCACATTCCTTCCCTCGTCACAACCCGGTACGTCCCGCTGTTCTGCCAGCCTCCATCACCTCCACTGACTTGTCCATTGGAGTCGACCTCTACACTGCCGAAAATGTCCTCCGGCCACGCGATGCGACCATAATCTGGTGGGTTCCTCAAGTCACTGATATGTATCCATCCTCCGTGGCCTGCACCTCCCGCTCCGCCTTGGTGGTTCGCGCCGCCTGCGCCATCATTCGGTTGTGAGAGGTGGAAGCCGCCCGGCGACGCGTAGACGGCGGCTTGGGATTGTACGTAAGGATCTTCGACAGCATGTGTCGCGAACACGGAGGAGAGGATAGGGAGGAATTGCGGGTTCTCGGTGAAGTTCTGCGGCGTTGGAGGGAGCGCGGTGCAGGAGCCTATGGCAAGTTGTGGTGTGGGAGGTTCGGTGGGCAGCAGTGATAGCAATCTTTTGCTCGGATCGAACGGATCTTTATGTACGTACTGAATTGGGTAAGTAGTTGCCTTTCTGACAGCGCGAAGTACATACGATGTGTGGGTTCTCTGCTAATGTCGACGCCTGTCGCGCGCCTCGAAGACGAAGCGTTTGCGCAGACGGACGTATCCGGCGCGATGAGCGCACGAATGTGTTCGCGAGCATCTGATATAGTACGGGACACATGAGGATATGCAATTGTAAGATTTGAGGGTATGTTTACTCTGGTTGCTGGGAATGGGTCTGATATATTCAGATGGTAGATTACTAACAATGACGAGGTTTCGGAAGTCCCGCTTTAGCGGCAGATCGAGCCGCCCATCGACCCTTCCGTCTTAGTTCGTTTCGCTGAAAAGTTACTTCAGCCACAGGCACGTTCAGTACCGCACCTGGGCATATCCGGGATAGCTCAAACAAATTTGCTATGAGTCCTAGATCGTGCAGTACAGTAAGCCCGTGTGGACCCTGGGTGAGTATTGCTGGTTGTCATGTACCCAAGTCTCGACCGCCGGCCATGATCATTCCCCAAACCATTACTAGCGTTACCCCACTAGCCATGCAAAATGTTTGAATGGGCGAATGGGAGTACGGACGCAGTTCGAGCGGGAGCCGAACGGTGTATCGGCTTAAGTAAGTAGGAAGGTGTTTTACCGTGGACTATCTCTTCGCCTTCGGCTCATCATTTCTTCTCGTGCTGCGTCAGTCGTACAACATGGCTTCAGATGCTGGGGAGATAGCTCCTATCGAGAAGAGGGTCGGAGAAACTAGCGATGCGAAGCAGACAGGGCTGCATCGGGATGCCGAAGTCGGTCCTGAGATGATCGATATCGATAGAATCGAAAGAGTCTATTCGTAAGTCACACATTTCTCATCACGAATTATGCTGACAGTCGCCCAGCAAGCTCGATCGCCGGATACTTCCAGCATTCTGGATTCTTTACTTTATATGCTCGGCGATTCGCTCCAATATCGGACTTGCTCAGACTATGAACCTGGCTGAAGGTCACGATCTGGGATCGGTACTCAACATCACACCCAAACAGGTCTCTACTGGTCTGGCGCTGTTCTACGTCTGCTATGTCATCTTCGATCTTCCCTCCAATCTCGTCATGTCAAGGGTTAGCCCGCATGCATGGATGAGTCGCATCGTGACCTGCGTTGGTATCATTGGCATGTGCCTGACGGCTATGAACGCTGCCTGGAATCTTTAGTAAGTCGTGAAGACACATGATTTTGAACGAGACTGACAGCAGCCCAGCCTCCTTCGACTACTCCTTGGTATCGTTATTGCAGGCATGTGGCCGGGTATGTCATACTACCTGACTCTTTTCTATCCTCCGTCTCGTACCGGCAAGCGTATCGGGCGCTACTTCACAGCATCTCAAATGTCCGCGGCGGTTGTGGGTTTGGTCTCGGCTGGCTTCCAGAAGATGGATGGAGTAGGTGGACTAGTTGGTTTTCAGTGGATGTTCCTTCTGTACGGTATCGTCGGCTTCATTGTCGGCATATCGCTACTGTGGTGGCTTCCTGACAGGCCACTACCCCCAGGCGAAGTACGCCAGCGAACTGGATGGATGAAGTGGCTGCCAGAAGGCAGACCAGCCCTGGAAGGTGAAGACGCCCGCATTCACTACGAGGATCTCACCCGCGTATACAGTCGCAAGCTGTGGACGATGAAAGATCTCTGGCACGTCGTCATCGACTGGAGGATATACCCTCTCGTTGTCATGTACTTTGGTGTAGTGGGTGTTGGGAACGGAACACAGGCATACGCGACTGTCATCATCCGCGGCATCAACCCGAGCCTCACAGGTATCCAGCTAAGTTTGCTCTCAGCACCCATCTGGATTGTAAGTGCCCGAAGTCATCTGGGGTAATTGAGGCTGACTACAACAGATGGATCTGATCGCTATTCTAATCGTGACGCCCTTCTCGGACCGTTTCCACCACCATCGACCTGCCTTCTTTAGTGCTGCTGTTGTGATACAGATCGCTGGTCTTTCGATTGCTACCTTCGCCAAAGACTGGTCGCGTTACGGTGGCGTCCTACTGATTGGCTTCGGACTTGGGCCGACAGTGCCGATTTGCATGGCCTGGTCCAACGAGATCTTCCAGCCCCGCCACGGAGAAGTGGGCGTAGCGGCAGCCGCCGCACTCGTCTCTGGACTTGGTAATCTGGGGAGTATCCTCACAACCTACGCACTATATTCTGGGTGGCCTGAAGATGCCAAAGACGGCCCGCACAAGTATCGCAACAGCAACTTTGTCATGATTGCCATCCTGTGCGCCAGTATACTCAGCGCAGGGAGCATGGTCGTCTTGTTGAGGGTGTTTGGAAACGGCAAGGGCAAACAGATCAGTAGTGCAAGCTCGACTAGCGAGGGCGAGGCTGCATACGTCGACGGTGCTGCCCGGCGCGAGGTCCAACAGAGGGGACTCGGACGAATGTTCTGCTTCCGATGAGATGATGAACGGGTGGAGTAGAGTCCTGCAGCCGTGATTGGTAATGTGGCATGTATGGAGAAGGTTAGCTGGGGATGGACTTTTGGGAATTGCCCATGGGGCAGCGGCCACGAGGACGTGGAGGGCTCGCGTGGAGGCGGGAGCGAGCTGTGCTTCATGCAAGTCAACATGTGCGGGCTGACTGCTGTAACACACGCGATAGAAGCACTACAGTAGATAACATCTTGGTCCGATTCCGGTGATCCGTTTGCTCGTGTCATTGCGGTTGCCCTTGCAGCCGTGACGGGGTGCGATAGGCGCGGCGGGCTGGTCAACCGCAGGCAGAGCCAAGAGGGGCTTCACGATACCCCAAGCTCCGTCACTTTTTGCGCCTAGTCCGCTTCCCCATAACTCCATCTTTTTCTTCACCTAGCGGAGCCCTGGCCCGCGTACAAATCCTCCCACCCTCCGCCCTCGACCGCAGACGCACTCGGTGTCTCACCAGGCCGCACCCCGCTACATACAGCATCGCTCCACTGCAGCCGGCCATCTCGCAATCGATAACCCGTGTCACCGGCCTGCACCCTCCCACCGCTCCGTCGCACGCCGCCGCCGCCGCCCGCACGCCCATCGTGTACCAAACTCCTCCCTCGCCTCACGCCTGTTTGATGGTGGCCCTCGCCGCGTCGTAGCGGGGCAGTGAGCCAAGCGCCGTCGACTCCCAGCACCGAGCCCCAGAACCACGGCTTGCGCGCCCCGCTGTAAAGCAGCAGACAGCAGTGACGTAAGTAGCTCCTCCCTTGTCTCCCCAGTCACCCGTTGCACGGGCGGAAATGAGCTCTCCCAACAGGCGCGCCCGTCTTCACATGCTTCTGATGCCTCCCGCCCGTTTGGCTCAGCCCTGCATCGGCACACCTGCTCACACTACATGTACAGTCCCCGCCGACGACCACCACCGAACACCCCGGCTAAGGCTTCAGCCAGCGCTCCGACGCACGACACGCCCCACTCTCCCACCGCCGTCGCATTCATACCACGCCCACCATGTCGGCCGCAATCGATAACGAGGACCTCGAGGAGCTCTCCATCTCCATGCCCGCCCAGCGGCGAGGAGCGGGCGCAGCAAGCACCACCAGGGCCAATGACCAGGCCGTCGCGCCGCCCACTGCGCTCGGTACAGCCGTGCAGGAGAGCAAGAGCAAGGACTCCAAGGCGAACCAGCGCCTCGGACAGTATACCATAGTCAGGACACTCGGTGAGGGCTCGTTCGGTAAGGTCAAACTGGCCACCCACCAGGTCAGCGGCCAGAAGGTGGCGCTCAAGATCATAAACCGCAAGCGCCTGGTCACTCGAGACATGGCAGGCAGGATAGAGCGCGAGATCCAGTACTTGCAGCTGTTACGGCATCCTCATATCATCAAGCTGTGGGTTATTTGCATGTTTGTGAACTTCATGTACTGATTGTCCATAGCTACACCGTCATAACCACGCCGACGGAAATTATTATGGTCCTCGAGTACGCCGGTGGTGAGCTGTTCGACTACATCGTCAACCACGGGAAGCTGCAGGAAGCCCAGGCCCGCAAGTTCTTCCAGCAGATCGTATGCGCCGTCGAATACTGCCACAGACACAAGATCGTCCACCGAGATCTGAAGCCAGAGAACCTCCTACTCGATGACGACAGCAACGTCAAGATCGCCGACTTCGGACTGAGCAACATCATGACAGACGGCAACTTTCTCAAGACGAGCTGCGGAAGTCCAAACTACGCCGCGCCCGAAGTTATATCCGGAAAGTTGTATGCGGGTCCAGAAGTCGACGTCTGGAGTTGTGGTGTCATCCTCTACGTTCTCCTAGTGGGCCGACTACCCTTCGACGACGAGTATATTCCGACGCTGTTCAAAAAGATCGCTGCTGGGCAGTACAGCACCCCAAGCTATCTATCCCCGGGCGCTACGTCTTTGATCAGGAAGATGTTGATGGTCAACCCCGTACACCGCATCACGATCCCCGAACTACGGCAAGATCCCTGGTTCACCAAAGACCTGCCTCCGTATCTCGAACCACCTGCCCAGGATTTCTTCGACAGTGGGGCGGATCCGAATAAGGCGATCGATCCTAAGGCACTCGCGCCGTCGGCCGATGCTCCTCGTGTACAGGCGCTGCACGAGAATGTCGTGTCGAAGCTCGGCAAGACTATGGGTTACGCAAAGCATGACGTGCAAGATGCATTGGCACGCGATGAGCCTAGTGCGATAAAGGATGCCTACTTGATCGTTCGCGAGAACGAGATGATGCGGAAGAATCGTAAGCCACCCTCTCTGTTAACTTGTACGCGGCTAACAATCGGTTCTAGCCTTGTTGACGGGTCCTGAATGGGATCAAATGTCGCCTCCTACGCACGACAGTCATATGGACCGATTCCGGCCTCAGTCCTTGAACGCTGCTTCTCGACCCCAATTCATACCGCCATCGAACTCGGAACACGAACGGGCACGTCAAGGATCGAACGCCAGCAGCCAACTCGCAAATATAAGAAGTCCTGTGAGCACAGTCGCTATCTTGCCAAGCAGTCTCACAGAATACCACAAAGCCTACATGAAAGGTCACCCGAGACCACTCAGCAGGGTCCAAGACAATGATGGTCTCCCACCAACTCCAGAACAGACTGAAGAACAAAGGCAGATCTCAGCGAGAAGGCTGAAGCCAAACTTCCGCACGATGCCAGAAGCAGGCAGAAACAAGCCCGAGCCTATGACGAGTCTGCCAGCCAAGAAGCCTCGAGCGACCAAGTGGCAGTTCGGTATAAGGTCGAGGAACCAGCCTGCAGAGGCTATGCTTGCTATTTTCAAGGCTCTGAAAGCCATGGGCGCCGATTGGGAAGTACCTAAAATACGCCGAGCAGGTGGCAGGAGCGGATCCCGCAGCCGTAGTACTTCTCAGAACCCTGATGACCGCTCACCGCCGAAATCGCGAAGCCATTCGCAAGATTCGATATCATCGCATTCATCGCACGAAGACCAGGGAGCTAGGGTAAATTCACCACATCGTGAGCCGCTTACCGTACGTAACAAGGACACGAATGAGCAGGAGACGAGAGGTCGACAGAAGAGGCACTACAACCACACCAACGACTGGGGCTACCACGTGCCAGAAGATCCATGGGTCATCAACGCCCGCTTCCGCAAAGAAGGCATGTTCCCACCCGGTGTCGCACATCCGTCTTCCACGCACTCGTCGCGTGTCGATCTCGCCAACGACCCCTCGGGGCTTCGCAGGCGCAGTTCCACCAACGCAAGTGCATCAAGTATCAGTCACGGCATAGAAGGCCTGACTCCATCTGAGCGTGCAAACTCCATCAGCGAAGAACACCCCTACCCCGACGAAGCAGTCTGGATCTACATGTCCATTCAACTGTACAGTATCGACCGCGATTTCTTCGTCGTAGACTTCAAATGCGCCGGCTACGAACGTCTCGTGTCCAACCTCGTCCGCGAAATCAAAGCGACCCCCTCCCTCGACACATTCGCACTCTCCTCAAGTCACCAGAACCCACACCAAGACGGATGGGACGACGAACAAGGCATTTGGCGCAGACTGGGTGAGGGTGAACCGCTACCCGAGGACCTGGCGAATAAGCTTCGCGAGGGAGGAACGGATATCCTACGAGAGCGGACGGAGCTTGTCGGTGCGGGACGACAGGAGGGAGAGAAGATTGTCACTAGTCCCTTTCCTTTCTTGGACGTCGCTAGCACCCTTATTCTGCAGTTGAGCGGGGAGTAAGTCACCAAGCATGTCATGACACGGATAGAGGTGGCGTTGTTGGAACGACGGGATATGCATAGCACAGGTTCCGTGAACGTATAGACCGCTTATAGAGGGCAAATGTACGGATGAGGCTTTGATACCAGTGTAGTATAAGTACACTCAATATATCTTGTTAGATCAACTATGTCGTTTCTCTAGTGAACAGCACGTTTGTCTCGAGTGCAGTAACAGTAATCATCGTACATCAACTACCATTCATACATTTACAACTACACAACCACCAGGAGCAGGAGAGCTATCGCATCAAAATAAACGCCCATTGTTGTTACTCTCTTTGACGCATATTCCATTTCTCCTTCGGCCAACTCATTTCATGGAGGAGCTTTCCAAACTTCTGCAGTTCCGCACACTCGGAGTGCCCAATACTAAATACATCATTTTGGAACAAAGGGGTGAGAAGAGCGTAGAAGAGGGGGATGGAGAAAAGGTGTGTATCATGGTTTGATCGAAGGAAGGAAGGAAGTAGGGTGTTTATCGCATGCCGCCGAAGCCACCGCCAGCCGCGCCCATGGCACCTAGTCTCGAAGCGAGCTTGGGGTACTTTTCTTGCACCTAATAGCGAGAGTTAGCATTTGCTTCGGTGTGAAGTGTGGATCCTGTGGCTTACCTCAAGTTGTGTCCTGGTTGCCTCGGCGTAGCTGAGAGCGTTGACGATTTCGCCTTCTGTCCTCGACAGCTCGGCCGCACGCTCAAAGTACTTGAGCGCCTCTGTGACCTTCCCTTGTTGCAGCAGCAGCTGTGCCATGGTTGCGACAGCGATGTCGCATTCGGGGTCGATGATGAGCGCCTTCTCGCACAGCTTCTCGGCGTCGTCGAAGTCGTTCTTCCATTGGAAGAGCGCGAGCGCCTTGTTGATGAGGGGCAGGACGTTCATGCCGAGGGGCTTGCTGGTCTTCTCCATCTCGACAGCGGTATCGAACTTCTCGATGGCTTCCTGGTACTTTTGCTGGTCGAGCAGTAGTTCTCCGTAGTAGTTGTATACGTCGGGGACCTGGGAGAAGTTCTTCATGCAGCGGCGGAATGTGGCCATTGACGAGGCGATGCTGCCCATCTTGTATTGTGTGACACCGAGTTGGATGTGCGAGAAGATGAAGTCCTTGTCGAGGTCGATGGACTTCTGGTAGTCCTTTGCGGCCTCGCCGAACTCGGACTTGATGAAGTGTAGTTGTGCGCGGTGGTAGAAAATGTCGGGGTCGCTGGAGTTCTGTTCGAGGGCGGCGGCGAAGTCGGCTTCGGCAGCTTCCGGGTTGGCGAGCTCGAGGTGCATGCTCGCACGCTTGATGAAGCTCTGTGTTAGTGTGGGCTGGAGCTCGATGCTCTTGTCCATGTCCTTGAGCGCGTCTTCGTTGTCGCCTTTGAGGTAGCTAAAGGTTCCGCGCATGTTATACGCGAAAGCCTCGTGCTCACCAAGGTCTCCGAGCTCGACTGCGCGGTCGAAAGCTGCCGCAGCTTCCGTGTATCCATCGCCGGTCTTGGTGGCCATGGCCTTCAGACCCTTGCGCAACTGGCCCTTTCCGCTCTCCTCATCAAGCTCGGCGTCGTCCTCGAGGCCCTCTGGTGTTGGCTTCGGTCGGAAGCTCTGGAGGTAGTTTGTGACGAAAGTTGGGCTGGGCAGCTTCTTCTCCTTGGAGGCGAGAATGGCCTTGCCCTTGGCATCGGCGACCTTCTTAAGCAGACGCTCGACGCTCTGTGCGCTGCTCTCGTTGCGGAAGCCGTCGATAATGCAGCTCGCAGTGTAGTCGAGGAGGGCCTCGCTGTTGCGCTCGACCTGCTCGTATGCGTTCGCTCGTCGGTTCAGCGCCTTTACGTATTCGTTGTCGAGGTTGATGGCGGCGGTCGTGTCCTCAATGACCTTGTCCCACTCAGACATGGCATTGTAGCAGGCGGCGCGGTTCGAGTAGAAGACGGGGTCTTGCTTGCAGAGGATGGCCTTGCCGTAGAGGTCGATGGCGCGGTTGTAGTCCTTGGACCCGTAGGCCTTGTTGCCTGCTGCCTTGAGTTTTGCGGCATAGTCTTTGCGGTCCTACGGGTCGTCAGTCATCGCCCTTGAGGGTGGTTTTACAGGACATGTATCGCACCTCGTCCGAGAGTGAGCCCACGCTGTTCTCGTCAACCTCTGGGAGCTTGTCTTCGGTTGTTTCCGCTACAGATGCCTTCTTCTCTATTTTCTCATCAGTGCACGTCCTTGGCAGAGGGCTGCATCGACCTACCAGACTCTGCAGACTTCTCTGGCGCCGAGTCCTTCTCGGCCCTCTCCTTTGCGCGCTTGCGCTCGCGTTGCCTCTTGCGCTTGGTCGCCGCTGTGTCTGCCGCGCTGTCTCTTGAATCATTGGAGAAGTAGTAGACAGCCCCACCAGCACCGACAACCAGTGTTATACCCGCAATCGTGTACACGACACCCTTGTTCTCTGAAGCCCAATTGCTCAACCGATCCCACAGCGAGTTGTTCGTGTCGACGGCAATTCGGACAGGTGGCGGCGAGGGAATTCCCTGTGGTACGGGTGTGTTTACTGGCGCCATCTTTTCCAAATCTGTGGGGGTGATTTAGTTGGATGGGTGGTTGTCGAGCACGCTCTGCTGTGCTGCTCAATGTTGTGGTGTGTTGTCGCAGATTTTGGCTAGGCAAGCTTGGATCAATGGAATTAACGTCAGCGCCCGCGCGGAACGTCATCATGGCCGTGCCGAAGAACCCCGTTGTGGACCCACACCTCACTCTTCCATCTCTTCTCCCTTCAGAGTACTCACAGTCTTGGTTTCTTTGGCTCATGCAAGCACTCTATTTCAGGGAAACACTAAACAATAGTCAGAAGTACATAATATAGAAGTCTTCCCTACCTAGGTATCTTTAGGAGCTGGCTGAATTTCATTTTTTTACTAGAATAGATTGCAGCGCATCTATCCAGTTTCTTCCTTGCATGAGGTACAAGAAATGAGAATGCTCAATCTCGCGCGAAGAGGAAGAACTTCCAGAAGTCGACTTCTTGCTCACCAGTTTCGGTCCGTGAGACCTTGGGCTTCCTGTTCGCGCACGACACAAGACCGGTCTCCAAGTATGTCCTGTCTGTGCTATTGCAGGCTGGTTCACAAGCTACGAAGTGGAGATGAACATTTGGTGCAGAGAACGTTTGGTGCAGACAAGAGGACTGCGACTTGGATATTCAATACCCTCATCACATCAGCTCAGCCAGACTACAATTTCACTACGATATGCAGATAACCGTGTTGCAGGGGAGACGGACTTCACCATTATGAGGAGACCACGGTATGCGAATACCAGGTGGAAGGTGTTCATCAGTCATGTATGTGCGAGGCTGGTTGGGCTTTCGAAACCTGTTATCACACATGCATCATCATCCACAGGAAGAAGTTTAAGGGGGATCAAGACGCGGAAGCAAATTGCAGATCTCAAAGCGCTCAGGGGTCGCAAGGGCCAAAGCTGACGATATATCACACCCCAAAGTGGTACTGCTGGCGGACAGTTTCACTGATAGAACATATACATTATAACTATCCCAATACATCAGCCCATACACCATAGTCTGGCATAGCTGCGTTGACGGTACATTGGCATCGTGCCAAGTGAGCTCACCTACACATGCCCAAGTGATGTTACTCATCCGTGCAAGCTGTGCTTCAACCCCTACACCACACTCTCTACTATGTCCGAGACGATGGCGACGAAACAAACAGCGGACCACTCCGAGGCCAACTACAACCCGAGTACATTATGCAAGGAGTCTGGGATGATCGCATCTCTAAGCGCACAGGTTGGGGACTGCACTGGTCACGGACGTAAGACATATAAGACAGAGAGTGACCCGATTCTGGTTCCCAATTCCTTCTCAGGTGATCAGACATGCATATTCCTACATTTCTATAGCCTTTCTATCAATCATGAAATGCAGTCGGTCTTGCCTCTATCATAGAATCCGCGGATCGCAGAAGCAAGGGCTCTGGTAACACCTCTAAAACTTCTCACAAGCGGGCCTCATGTCCAGCTCATGTGTCCACAAACAAGGCTTCTGTTGATGCAGCCAAAGATACGTCTCACCAACAGCATCGGCGCTCATCTTCTTGCCCACCTTTTGATCTTCTCCGTCTTCATCTGCAATCGCACCATTACCGATCGTATGTACGACGTGCACGCCCTTCTCGCTCATCTCACGGGCCAGTGTCTGCGCTAATTGACGGACAGAGGCACGTCCAGCACCATATGCAGCGAACTGGGCACTGCATCGAAGCGCGCCGAGCGTGCCAGTGAAGATAAGCGTCTGTTGTCAAGAATTAGTATTGCATGCAACGAGCTAGTTATAACGATTCTGCTTACGCCCTTCTTCTCCCCTCCATCCATCAAGCCCGTCTCACCATGATCCGCAAAGAATCTCTTCAAACTCTCCTGCGCAAATGTGAACGCCCCTCCGACATAGGTCTCCAGGCTATCCTCAAAGTCTTCCCTCGTCTCTTCCAAGAACGGTTTCTTGCTTGAATGCTTGATACTGTATATCGCCAGCTTCAGGTTCAGCCCCCTGAAGCTCTCGTGTGCTTTGATGTCTGCAAATGCCTTCTCTAGAGATGCTTTCGAAGTGTCGCTTGGGAAGGCCTCGAGAACCGCATTTTCGTTGGCGGAGCGGACTGTAGAGATGACGCTTTGGAGATTTTCGGGGCGTCGGGCTAAGAGTGCGACGGCGAGGTTGCCATGGGCGGGTGATGAGAGGATGCGTGCTATTCCTGTTCCCTAGACGTGTTTCATTAGACGGGTGTGTTCGGTGCGGGGCCTGCAAGACGACTTACAGTAGCGGGTCCGGCTCCGATGAGAATTGCGAGACCTGATGGCGGCATTGTGGAGTTTGCTGAAGGTGTTTTTACGGTCTAACTCTTGTTCAGCGTATTGTGCCTATCTGTGTTGCTTTTGTTTTGTGGGTAGATATTTGAAGTTCCATCATTGCATCATACGCGGTAGTGACGTCTACGCTGAAAATCAATAGTTATTTCCGTTATATCCTCGAATGTTGGTAGGTAGAGCGTTGATCAACTTCAGCAGTACCTAGGTATGGTGAATCCAAATATTTACAGGGCCGACTGCGGCTGGATGGTCGGCACAGATATTTGATGCTCGAAGCCAGCCTGGGCAGAATATGACGTCATCTGACATAGAACAAACACCTATCAAGTCTATAGGAATAGCTACGATAGGTGGTGATTGCTTTCAATCGCCTTAGGGAGATCTATGAGTAATCGTACTGAAATGAATAAATGACAGTGAGGCTACATCTTACATGTCTGGATACTAATCTGTCCTTGCTATCTAGTTGTGAGTCCCTGTTCCCTGTCCAAGTCGTATTTGGGAGATTTATCTCGGTCCGTGTGGTTGTCGACAGCAAGACGCACTTCGCGATGCCAACATACTGGTTCTGACTATCGAATGCACACCTAGGTACAGTAGTCGTACGCGTACAGAGGGATTGGTAGGGTCCAGGGCAGTTGGATCCTACACCAGCTTAACCCAAATCTGCCGTACGTCCGGAGTCTTCGTCGTTCCTCACACCCCCTCATTCCTTTTGAAAGATCCATCGCGGTCCAGACCGACGCATACCCACATCAGGTCTTCAGATATTGGACCCAGGTCCACATTCACAGTGCCGGGTGTGTACTTCTGCATGCTGCAAAGCCGACATGAAGCCGAGATGGGCTCAGATCTCCCGAGGCAACGAATGTGATATCCAAAGAGAAGTATAATATCCGAATCCATGTTGGGAGTGGCTCAGGCTCGCACTCCCTAGCAGCTTGCGTGATAGATCGTTCAGAAAGTATAAACATGGTCTACTGTTTCAGCTGATGAGATACAAGCGATAACGTACCCTGTCCTGTCCTGCCAGACACTAACTCTTCATTGGAAAGACCGAACACTGACAAGAATTCATGCGGATAGTCTTTTTTGGGTACTGCACTCATAGAAATTGGTGCGCAGGTGCGGAGAAAGACATCTGGTGAGTGTCGTGTGTCGTGTCGTAGAGAAGAGACAGCCGAACCAGGCGTTCCCATTTCTGAGACTGGAAATGCTCGCGCGTTGGGGCCATCCTGATAATATTTATGGGCGTGCGCCGGAGCTAGTGCTTGTAGCGCTTGTGACGTGCATGAAAAGGCCATGTGCTCTCATCCCTGCAGACGCAAATGATTTCGACCCCCTTTGAAGCTCATTGGCCACTAACGACGAGCTAGCAGCGAAAGTGAGCAAGGGCGCGGTCGCTACACCTGTAAGGAAACCTAACATCCTACCTAACTACTCCTCATGGATCGTCGATAGCTCTTTCACATAGGGGCGCAGCCATGAAGCATCACGAAAATTGCAAAAGTCTCGATCCGGCATCCCTGTCCCCACCTCGTGTTTCACTCCAGCTTTCGCTCACCGATCAGGCCCCATGGACGAGACCTCCCCATTGGAACACCATGTCGTCACTGTCGCCATCTGCGCTCTTCTCCATGCCCATACAGCCTCAAGCGAGCAAGCCCTGCCGTACTGACCCGCAAGCTCATCGACGTGCCTTCGGGATCTCATCCGCTGGGCGCGGCACGATCTCCCGGAGCGATGAGTACCAACGATTCAATTATATAGTCGCAGTCGCGGCTTCTCATCAATAGATGTTGGTGAATGCTCTAGATTCTGGAGCATGGATAAGCTCGGGGGAGATGGGAGCTATCACGCATTCGAAGAGCTCAGCATTCGAGCCCGCTACATTGAACGCCACAAATACTGGCGATCGTACCAAATCCTGCACGGAAAGTATCCCTTCGAAAGAGAAACTCGGTTTTCATGCGCAATATCGAGGCGCTTTGAAAGTGGCCATGGTTTGCTGTCACGCGCTGACCACCAGTGCTCACAGCCGGCCCATACGAATTACCGAGAGATATATGCTCAGGGCTGGGCGACCTTGTCCGGCCCATGCGCCACATTCCAAGCACGGAACATGCCTCTACTTCACCGACTACACGCTAGTGAGGATGGGCGGAACTCCCTCTTCAGCCTGTGCCGCAATTTAGTAGTACACCATCTAAGCTCACGTGTATTGCAACAATTTCGAAAGCCGTCCATTACACAGTCTACCATAGAAGGTCAGTTCTGGCGTCAAGTATACTCAGCTTAGCTGACACTGCGAACAGGCACGCATCAACCCAGCGATCCTTCTTTACACCGCAAATATAGCATTTGGAGGTTTAGGTGCTCACGGAAAGTATCGCCACGTCTGGATCGCTATCAATGCCCCGACGACGTTTACGCTCCCCTGTCCGTCCGTCGCACGAAAGCCACCTGCGAACGCAGCACTGGCAGGGTGAAAATTCCTTGAGGAATACACGCAGGCCCGATACAGAGATTGATCCGACCCCACACGACCCACGTGTGTGATTACAGGGCCCCGTGTCTGTAAAACGGTATCATGCCTCTTGCCGACTTCCCATGAGCTGTCATAGCCGAGCCGCTCGATTTTTGACATGATGCAAGCGATCAAGTCTGGGACGCGCCGCAAGGCTGAGTACAAACGATCGTATTGTATTCAGAAGCGAGCTAGGCGCTACAGATTGCGTAGTCCCCCTAACATATGATGGGCCGACTAGCTGCATATTCATGCAATATGTACGCCCGTTATGAAGGCCTCTGTGGATCCAGCTGATCACTCATACAACATTCGGCACTAAACCGATGTGCAGTCACAATATCTTCACCAAGGCACGCCATGAGGCTACAGTAGAGACGCCGACCTAGTCATGCACAGTGCAGTACGCTGTTCTCCAAGCGCTCTAGCTCTTCACTACCTGCGTGTGACAAGCGAACGGCCCGGCAGCGGATGTGTCATATTCGTAACAGGCAAAGTCAAGTCGTCCTTAGCGGTGAGCTAGATCTCGATGCGGGAGCCATCTAATGAACCTAAGAATTCCCGGGAATCGAAGACATGGTGAGTGAGTGAGAGCGATGGATGCCTTGGCTATCAGCGGATAGCCGCACCATACGCTCAATCAAAGGTGGACAGATCATAGCGCGATTACCGGCAGTGTTTGCTATACGTACACGGTGTAGGTAACATCCCTCGGGATTCGACTACTGCAACCCCGGGCCCAACGGATGCGACACTAGGATGTGTTGGCATGGGAGGGGTGGAAACACTGTATATGCTGGCTACGCCAATAGCAAGAAGCCACCCTCGTAAGCTGAAAGCTCGGCAGCGCATCTTTACCTATTGAGCCAATAGAGCGCATATGTCGGCAGACCCTGACATGCTTGAAAGCTGCGCAGCTCAACGTGGTCGCAGATGGGCGGTTCCGAGGCGTCTCGCATTGGAGCTGCACCGAGGCCTCGACCGCTGCTGCCCATATTGCAAGCATTACGCTGGCATGACATCCTGTTGCAGAGGATTCCGGTGAGCCACAGGCGCTGTCGTGAGTGGTAGTGGTTGTGTTGGATTGTAGGCTGTGCCTTAAGCACGGTGAAGGACGAAGGCTCAATAATAAGGTACATGGATCCTTGTCATCACCATCGCAAATCGCGGATTAGGTCTCAGATCAGAAATTAGTATGCTTGATCACATGCTTGCATCGCACGAGTGGAAGATGAAGATAAGATCTGATGAAGATATGAGGCCTGTCCGTTTCAACTCACCTGCATATGCAGGAGCTGGGCGGATAGTGACTACTTGGAATCCCTGACAATTATAGGTTCGACCGCATAGGGCTGATGGGAATAGGGAAAGTCCTTGCTCTCCATCGGGCGGACTGCTTGAAAGGATTGCATCCACATGTCGAAGGTTCGATGTGCGGCACGAACATCTGTCAATATCAGAGCCACGTTCCGAGGATCTGCGCATCGCATCGCCTCGCTTTCTGCCACCGGCATGCCGCCTACGCGAACTTTGAGTACGATCATTACGGTGGATTGTGTGGCAACCATGGGCCCACATGATACTCCCGAAGAACGTCCTACCAGTAAGCAACTCTCCTCAGCACAGTGGATAAGTTGGTGGAGGGCAGGAGACCCAATTTCGCCCGTGTGGCGAAGCTTCGATGCGTTCCGCTGCCTCCCCCCGTGAGCGTTAGACCCGAGTCGCAGGGTGGTTCAGTGAGGATTTGCCCACTGTCATGGCGGCTGACTGACAGGCATTAGCGTAGAGGGCATCAGGTGACGAATCACGATAAGACGGGGAGGAGACACATAGGTACATGGTCACCCACCCACTCGAACCGTCCATGCTAGCGGGAATGGTTTTCGGCCCTGTTCCAATGTTCCGGCGAGCTAAAGTCGAATGTCAGTCTCTCGTTAGCAAGTGCGGCTCCGTCAGCTCTAAATTCACACACCGTGACAACGGCGGCGTGCGATTACGCGATAAACGTCTTCAAGAGATTCCCATTGATCGAGAATGAGGTATAAGAACGCCCACCTCAGGCTCACTCCTGAATCGCATCACTACAACTGCCATTACATTTACATTTACAACGCCACATACATCGAATCAATACGAAATATAACTAGTTCATTTTGAGCCTGACCACTGAGCGGAATACACTGCAATCGACGTATCGAACATGACTTCTCCGGTACTCAGCGCGAGGTCCTCGTTTGACAGTCTCCACAGCAGCTCCTCGTCCAATTTCAGTTCTCCTGATCAACTTCCACCGGCAGTAACGGGGCCCATGGTATGGCAAGGTGATGGACTCCAACCAGCTGAGTACGTAGTCAAACTTACCGACTGCGATATTCGGAATGTGAGGGCGGCCATCATCAAGTTCAAGCGTGAGTGCAAAACCAAATTACTCAGTTCTTCTTCTACGAGCCGATGCTGATTCACACCTTTAGTCACTGGTCTTCCGCGGACAAAGATAGATCAGAAAACCTTTGATCTCGGCAGCCCCAAATTGGCTAGTAAGCTCTCATCAATCAGCAAAGAGCTTCACCACGGCACCAACGTGGTCGTACTCCGGGGTCTTGATAGTGCTTACCTCAATGACGAAGAGGCCGTAATTGCTTTTGCGGGCATATGCTCCTACGTCTGCCCAGAAAGAGCAACAGACGCCTATGCGAATCAAACGCTGAGTCACGTTCTCGACGCCACCAGGAAGAGAGTTCCAGACGACTGCAAAAACCTCGGTCTCGCTGGGTCCAAAATCACTGCAGCGATGGATTTCCACAGTGATCGCTTCTCCGGCGACGTTATTGCTCTGTACGTGCGCAACGACGGCGGACCAGACGCTGGTGGCGAGCAGTTCGTTGCGAGCTTTCCAAGAATCTATAACGAGCTTCTTGAAAAGGACCCAGAAGTGCTCGAGACGATGGCCGAGCCAAACTGGCCCTTCGAGCTAAAGCAAAAGTAAGCACGGCTTTTGTCGTATCTGATGTCTCGAAGTTTTGCTAATTAACTTCAGGGATGGGGCGCCTTACCTAGAATTAGGACCTACCCTCTTCTTCTCCAAGGGAAAACCCATGTGCCAGCTAGTCAAGGCCCCACTACTTGGTACTGATAGCATCCCGCGTGACCCTAGCATGCCCAGGGTCACTCGGAAGCAGCTGCACGCAATGCACGCCGTTGAAGAGCTAGCCAAGCGCTTCTGCACGAAGGTTGACCGGGAACAAGGCGACATCCAGTTTCTCCATAACCTGTCCGTCATGCACGCCCGTGCAGAATACCGCGGTGTTGATGGCAAAGCTAGTACCCGGCACCTATTGCGCCTGTTCCTCCGCGACTCCACAAATGCTTGGGAGAAGCCGGCTAGCTGCCGCAACAACTTTGACGACCCGTTCACTCCCGGCAGACCTCAGAGTCTCCCTGTTTTTGACACCGACCCATGGCGCAACATCAGCGGACGCGAGAGCCACGGCTAGCTACTTCCGTATCTACTAGACTTTACGGAGTAAAGTTCTCCCAAGGGCGCAAATGGTGGCAGAAATGACTTGAGCAAATTTGGCATGCGTTCCGCAATGATGACAGAGAATGACAGCGCTTTCCTGTGTTCATACTTTTTTGTTTTTGGCCTGATTTAGTATTCCCCTGTTGACTAGACTGACGGTAGACGTACTCAAATATTCATCACATTTGCCTCCCATTTCTCTCCACAAAACCGCGATCCGCGAAACAGGCTAGAAAATGACTCGCGAATGCCATTCAATGACTGGGTATCAAAAAACAGAGGGGAACAACATGACACGAAGCGAACGCGAACGTTACGCTCCAGCTTCCTTGAAAAGCTTTACGATCCATTGACTAGAGGTGGACCAGTGCGTTGCGGCAAACCCGGTAAGCGGCGGCTGGAAGCGATCTACGCTGGTTAACAAATGACTTGCAGTAGCGGATCTACGGTACCAACTTACCGGGCTTATTTCGGTCAAATAGATTGGCGATGGCTGTGACATATGCGAATCCTTCTGCATCAATATGACCTCGCTCCCGGAGCTCGTCCGGATTGTCGCGTGCTAATTTGAATGGGGAGTAGCCCCGAAGAATGCAGCGCCAGTGGTACAGCAGCACTGGAAAAGCGAATTCCCACTTCTTGATCTGAGTGGTCACCACGTTGCTGACCTGGTTCTCGAGCAACTAGCAGAGTTAGAGCGGTCAGAATCTGTAAAGGAAAAATGAGATAGTGACGTCCACTTACTGTGCCGTTCTTGGACTTGATGTAGTCTTGCGCACCGTGATGGATGTACTCGAGATTCCAGAAGATGACATAGAATGCCAGAAAGAGCTCATACCAAGGCTTGATCCTGGGCCTGAAAATCAGCGCCACTAGTTCCTTGACGAAAAGCTTTTCCAGTTTGCGAAGGTATTTCACAGCCGCGACATCCATTTGGTGGGTTATGGCGCCAGGGAGTGGGCGGTCGCATGAGTTGCGGTCGTAGGCTTCGTAGTCGCTACGGCCGAGTCGGCGATAATCGTACTCGCGAATGCCAGGTATGTTCTCCGAGAAGACGGAACCGTATCCCTGGGAAACGACGGAGAGACATTGGAGTCGCATTGCGAGATCGAGGACTTTGCTTCCATTTACTCTTCGCATGCGTACCACCTCCTGGTAGGTATGATAGGCGACTTCGTCCTGCCGAATGCGAGCAAATATCCACTCTTCGATCGCGGGTTGAAGGCTGGAGAAGTAGCGTTCGTAAGCCTGGACGAGATTCGCAGTATCGTATATGGCGTAGGCCGGTTGTTCGACAGACGGAACCTGTCCATCCCGGTTGGACCAGACGGATGTCGCGACATCAATCGTGCCGCGCGTTGGGCTATAAGGCCGGAAGGCGATACGCATAGGCTGTGCGTTCGGTATAGGACCGTAGCCGGGGAGATTCCAGATGATCTCCATCTCGTAGAGTTGACTGTTGTGTATCCAGTCGTAACCAAGGAACTCGGCTTCCTCTTGGTGCTCGCGGCCATTGCCTGTCTTGTTGTGAGAAGCAAACAAGCAGCAGATATTGCAACAACTTACAACGACGTACAAGACTAGTGTCTTCGAGATGCTCCCTGTAACAGGGCTCGCGAAAGGACCGGGCGTGGCCTGTGATCTTCTCACACTTTTCACACGGATCTCCTTCGTCACACTACATTCGTTAGTCTTGCACTGCGTCATGTTGGATATGCATACCCCAGATTTGTAGAATCTACAACGAACGCATATACGCTTGGTCTTGCGCATGGTGTGGGTCTTCTCCCTCTGCCTTTCCTGGAGAGGGCCCTTCCGCTTGGACACCTTCAGCTTCTCCTGGCGCTCAACGAAAGACGAAGGAACCTTGGCTGCTTTCTTCTTTGGCGGTGGTCTATGCTGAGCCAACAAATGGGTGGTTGTCTGATCGACTGGGACCGGCTGCCGTGCGTAAAGTTCATGATCAGGTGGTGCTTCAGCGACGGCCCATTCCCGCGACATGGTCTGAGGAGGCTCGTAAACAGTAGGCGCATTGGAAGTTTCGACGGGGTTCATGGGCCAAGGGATAGCAGATGTGCTATGGTGCCTCGTATCTGGAGCTCGGGTGGTAACAGCGTCGCCAACATGACCAGAGTACTGCTGATGCGCTTCCCACCCGACATCATGCTGCAATGGTACCTGTGGCGCGTGGTTCGTGTGCAACAGAACAGTCTGCGGCTGTGAATGCGAGAGTCGTGGGACTGGAGGTAGCTTCTGAGCATGATTCGAGTACGGTGGGTCTACCGTATTGGCGGGGGACTCCTGGATGATTTAGTCGCGAACCTAGTGCAGGGCACAACATTGCTTGTGTGCACTTACTGACGAAACGCGCAGCTCGTTAAAGCGCTCTGTACTGCGAAAGACGTGATCCTGCGAAGCCAAGGGTAATGCGTGCCCCAGATCCAGCGCCGGCTGGTGCTGGTACTGGTGTTGGTGCTGATAGTGGCGCGGGATTGTGGGAATTTGGTGCGGCACGGACGCGCTCCCCTCAGCATCACAATAGGGGACGGTCGAGCGCGTCGTGTAGTTCTGCTCAGGTCCAGCGTGCTGCCACTCCAGAGGTGCCTGTCTGACGTAACCAGACCAAGCCGTTGGAGCAGACTGCGGATGCGTACCAGCGGAGTCTACTCCGACTGCCGGGTACTGTAAGAATTGCGCCGTTGACGGGCCGGCAGCGTACGAGTCGTGGCTGGGAGCATGATGCTGCTGCCATGCGCCCAAGCCATACAAAGGGTCGTGGTTGCTTGTGGGGAAGTCCTGGTAGTGCGAGGGAGTTTGGGCGGCATTCCTGTACTGCGAACTGGTGGTAGACATGGAGGGCTGCGGCTGACTGCGTACAACTTCAGAGGACGTGTCGCGAGGGTGCGTGTCGCTCATTCGCTTAGAAGTAATGGGCAAGATCCGTGTAGCAGGGAACGATGGCGGCCTGGGCCGTAAAGCAAAGCCGGTACGGTAGATCGTTGCTTTTCGAGTTCGATGGTAGGAAGGCTCGAGGAGGCACCAAAGGCAGGTCGAGAACCACACTGGTTCATTGTGTCGGTGCCATGCATGTCTTAGCTTCCGTTAGGGCTGCATCTCCCCGCGAACCTGCCTCGCGTACCAGACGGACACACAACCTTCATCTTACTCCTGCATCTGCGCCGTCTCTTTGTTTACCGCTATCGTCGCTGCAATTGATTTCATCTTCTTCGCTGTAGTATCGACTAAGTTTGCCACCTGTAAGTCGTATCGATGTCCTCCATGAAGGAAATTCGCTTATAAGGCAGGCGGCCTACCTTTCGACAACGGGATCTTATCCCGTCCAATGCCAGCGCTGTATTCCAAGCAACATACAAATGCGGGTATGATGTCTCAACTCGCTTTATGCACAACTATGCGTAATGGCAGTGCGTGCTTATCGTAGACAAAGAGATGTTGGTAGCATGTCTTTCCTGAATGCATGCGTACTCTGTTGCGAGATTGCATTGCTTTAAATGACCTGCATATTGAACTTCGATATGTTTCCCCAGAACGAAGTTCGTATTTGCAGTGCTACTAGCCGAGCAAAGTCATGCTTTTTCCATCTGTAGAAGGCGTACGCCTAGCTACTTTAGATGACCTGTGCCGAATCTCGCTTGTTGCGGCTGCTGCGTTCTTTTCTTCGCCTTCTTTTCAGTTTCAACGCGTCAATTACCAGACATTTCCATCTGACACTATATCTTCCTACTTTGTTCAGTACGAGAAAGCCTTAAGAGATCCTGCATGCGTGGTGCTCGTTGCAGAAGATAATATTCAAGAAGACGAGTCTGAACACGTGTACGAAGCGTTGCGAGAGTCCTTCAAGTCGGTCCTTCCGACACGGAGAAGTATCGTAGGAGTTTGCAGTATTCAGCTCAAATCAGAATCAGCATATGTCCATCATTTCCAACCCAAAGACGTGCTTGCTGGCGTTGCTGAGCGACTGAATGTCCCTGACCTCGAAAGAGATCAAAGTACTGAAGCCGTGGAGATCTATAACGCAGTCACGCGTCCAGCAAAACTGCAGTATGCATAACTGACGTATCTAGACGCAGATTGCTGACAGCGGAGAATAGGCATCTAGAGGGCAAAATGCGCCTCTGTACTTTAGCAGTGGCACCCTGTTATTGGCGGCGAGGCCATGCAGGAAGACTCGTGAGCTATTGCACTCAGCTAGCAGATCTCGACGATGCGTTGTTGGTAGGTCTGACTGGCTCAGAGAAAGCATCTCGGCTAATATTGTCCAGGGAGTATCCGCTACGCCTTGTGGTGCCACGGTTGTTTCGAAAGCCGGGTTCCAGGAACGAGACTATGTTCGTTACACGCCCATGACGACGGCGCAATCAGGCACTATGCATACGGCTGGCTTCGAGCTTTGGTAAGACCAACAGACCGAAAGTGCGTGCAGCAGAAGCGCTGACCTCAAGTTTGTACTGCAGGATCGGGGTGCGCTTGCCCGGCGGTAGAGTTGATTCCGTCAACATCGCGACATGCTCGGAGAGTCCGACTACCTCGCAGTCAGCAACATCATCGGTGTGAGATCTTGGCAATCTGCAGCCACGTTGGGCACTGGGGCCGGGGCGTAATGTGTGGTGAGGTCGACACTAGACTCATCGGTGCGGATTATCTCGTCGGGCCTGCACTTTCCGGTCAGGCAGGCGCGAGTAAGCTTAGTAGGAGTAGACGCGCGATCGCATGGAGAAGGCGTTGAGTAAACATCTCGGAAATAATTAAACTGTCATTATACCCATCGACCCTTCCATATTGGTTGCGGATACACTCGATTGACCCTGTGACTACACCATCGGTCACGATACGCACCAGTAACCCAAAGAAGCATGCACGTAGAGCGTCGCATCATCAGGACTTGCTCTTCTTCGCCTTACCCTTGGCTGGCTTCTCTTCCTCCTCACCGTCATTCTCATCTTCGTCATACGTCTTCCGCTTTCCAGCGCCGGCAACCCTCGATGACTTCCTGGTTCCCTCTGTCCTCTCCTTGGCTTTCGCCTTAGGGGCGGCGGCCTTCTTTGGCTCAGCAGACTTTGCCGCACCCTTAGCACCAGCTTTGGCGCCAGTCTTCTTCGCACCAGTGTTGGCCTTGGGCTTCTGCGCGCTTGGAGGGGCCTCCTCTTCTGCAGCCTCTTCCTCAGCGTCGTTATTCTCCTTCTCCTCTTCGGCATCCTCCTTCTTCTCATTCTCCTTGTCGTCTTCTTCCGCAGGCTCTTCGTCTTCTGCCTTCTCAGTCTCTTCCTTCTCTTCTTTCTCTTCGGCCTTCTTCTTGCCCTTGGACTTTTGTTGTGGAGCCCCCTTCTTCGGTTCGTTCTTGCTGCCAGCCTCGTTCTCGTAGCCGCCGCCCTTCTTTTCGTACTCTTTCGAGAGCTTGCTAGCCTATACATCGCGTCAGTCTATGCACGAATCAATGCGCACTGTCGCATTCATTGAGGACATTAAGAAAGGAAGCCACACAAACTCACCTTCCATGCACTCCATTGTCCCTTGCCACCACCGTCTTTGTTGGTTTCGTTCTTCACTTCCTCCTTGACCTTCTCCCTCAACTTAGGATCCGTTGGCTTTCCTTTGCTGGATGGCCTAGGCAGAAGAACATCATAGTCAGCATTTCATTCTCAAAGATATCATAACTTCAAGCCAACAGCGACAACGCCAGCGTGTGACAATGCGCGTACTGTACGCGAACAACAAAACGGCGCATCATCACCATTGCGATCGCGGTCGCAATCGCAATCGCAACATGAGAACAACACCAAAACTACATACATTTTCAAGATCTATCACCGAAAATTAGGATGCTGGGCGGATGTGCGTAGTAGTAATAAAGCAGCTGATGTAAAAAGAGGCAGACAGGGTAACAATCCAAAGGCGCGTCGCAGTCGCGTGTCGCCAACTATGTACCTGGCAGGCTGGCACAAGCGGCAGGATTTAGCGTCTTTTTGTTTTGATACGCAGTTAGCAAGGGCCATGACATCACGACTCCTGAACATGGGCAGTAGTCCAGCCATCTCACAACAACAACAATCATGCACGTGCGCAGATGCCGTGGTACCACACCCCCTCTTTAGTCGTGGCTCCAGGCGCGAGGGTTCGACGCTTCCGGTTTCCAGGGGCGATATTATGCACACTATCGATTTGCTTGGCAGGGAAGTGGACTTGGGGGAAGTTTAAATCTCGTGTGGCGTAACGCTTGATATGGGGGAGATGCGTTTGTGGAATGTGTGCTGGTGAGCGTCCGCGCGAGTTCTCGACGACACAGAAATGGGCTGCCGTGGCATCGCGGGACTTACGCTCATGGTACAGCTGCTCTCGCTACCAGTCAAAACACACCTTGGTTCCAACTCGAGGTATGTCGAGAGGCCTCTTTTGGTGGGGCATGTCCGCAGCGGATGGAAAGATGCATTGGGAGAGATAACAGGATAGTAATACGGCTCGTTATGTTCATGTGTGTAGTGACAACAGGCAACCCGCTAATAACGCGACGACCAATTATCCACAGGCGACGCTGCGTTCATTTCTGTTCGCTCGCTTTGCCGGTACTCCCATTTCCCGCCTCGCCTCGCTGCTCATCGCGTTTAAACTTCTTATCAGCCTCTTTGACTATTCTTTCCGCCTCGCCCATGATGTCGCTGCCTACCCTCCATCCTCGCAGTATTACGCCCTGCTCAGAGAGAACCTGCTCTGCATGTGCCCACCTCTGCCGCCACAACTGCTCCTTCTTTGTGCCGTACTGCTCGCCTGCAGCACCACCTAGCGTACTACCGGTGCTGGTGCGGTTGATGCCCTGTCGCGGCGCTGCAGTAGAGAATGGCTGAGATGTTTGCGCAGAGATGGCCTGAGGGCGACTATGGTAGGGTATAGAGGGTGCGTTCTGCCACGCTGACGATGCTTTGGATCCCACGTATGACGCTGCGCTTGCAGCTGTATCGCGGTTTCCGCGTCGAGGCGGAGGTGGAGGTGGGCCTTTGCGAACACCAGTTACATCTAGACTGGAAGCATTGGAGCCGGGCTCCTCTGTTGAACGCAGTGCGGGTAGATTACTGTAGACAGACCACAACTTGTCGCGAGCCATACCAGCGTATGACTGCTGGTCCTCTGACGCCTGGCTCTGGTAGCT